GGGTTGCAGTGCTTGCGGTTCGTTGGCGAATTTGAGATGCTTCGCACAGCTCGCTAGCTGGACTGCTCAACATGGGAGTACCATATATCTTGCTCAGGTTGGCTGATTTCTTGTGAATTGAAAGCTGGAATCGGCGTGAACGAGAATCTGATAACGACGCTTCTCCACGTACCTCGCGCTTAGCTAGTTGCAGGAAGTTCCAACGTCATAAACTCAATTCGAACTGTTACTACCTCAAGATTATTGAGGTTGCGCCTGTGCACCTTCCTTACCAGCGATGCATCCACCTCGTTGCAATCGTTGCTAGCTAAGGGCTGATAGACGCTGCTACTGCACGACTTAACACTAACCAGGATTAAGGATACATCGAGCATTATCCAATCCCTCTAACTCAGCTCTTTTAAGGAGATTAGTCTCTCCGAATTCCCCCTCTCTGTCAATTTCAAGCCTGGATTTTCTCGGCGGAGGTTGGTCGAAGCACAGAGAGCACAGTTCGCCGTGGAACGAACTATATTAGCAGGAATGAAGCTCCACGCATCGCTTACATTGCTGCTTCTTCTCTCGTTGACCTCAGGTGCTACTCTCCGCGCTTCTTCAGGACCTCGTGATTTTTTCAGAAACTCTTTTGATTGATTTTTCGATTCGCGTTTCCATCAAGCCTTGAACGAGGACGCTCGGGATACACCTCGGTGCATTCAGCCCTTCAGTGCACACATGCATGGAACTCCCATCTTTCGCGACGATATTGTACGTGGCAGGGCCGTGGTTAGCCGTAGCCGGCGGCAAGGATTCAGGAGGCCTACCTGACGGATCCACATGCTACTACGACAAGAACTATACCCCATCAAGCCCTACTGCAAGCGAGATTCGGGTACGCTGCGAAAACCATAAAATTCTTAGCCTGAATTTCCGGCAGTGCTATCCAGCGATTCACTATCTGAGATGCTATTACTTCAGGGAGCAGCTTGACCACCATGCAAGCACAGCTTAAATTTCGTTGCCGACACTCCTTCCGTGTTCGTCACATGATCTTAATGCAGGTGTGTGGTGACCAAGGTGATTCGCAACTCGCCGCATTTCAAGTTCAAGGGTGAATGCGCCTCCGACGTTCCTCGTAAGACTTCATTTAATCCCGCTTTCGTATGCCTCTCTGCACTGATTGCGACTTCATGCAAGAAACACTGCTCACGGAGACAAAAAAATACGAACAAAACAAAGTTGCCTCTTTCTCGGTGTTACAATGTCATTCACGATCCTTGAATCTCCTTCCCAGTGGACCAGATAACCAAGCGGTTCTGCATGTTCCGCTCCGTGATGTTCGCGCCGGGGACCAGCGGCATCACGGCGACGTCCATGTGCCCGCACTGCACGTGCCGGCAGCTCAAGGGCGGCCCCACATGCTTGTGTCCGCTGGGCAAGCTGTGCAAGCAGGACGCGGTGGGGCGATGGAAGGACGGCACGCGATGCAGAGACACCAGGCAGAACCAGTTGAGTCGGGGGATGGGAGTGAGATCAGGGACGAATTAGAGACTTTATGCCCTGACTCTCCTGTGCACAGGCAAATCTTGTGATGTGGAATGGAGTAATTTCCGGAACACATTGTACATATTTACCCCCGTCCCATGTCGTCATTGCACCACCAGGTGTGAAGTATCACGGGTGGTGAACGGCTCATACGTTGGCAACTGCATCAACCCTGCTCGTCAGTTCCTCTCCCTCCATCGTTGTTTCTGCTCCCTTACCGCTTTCGTGCTTACAGATCCTATTGTTCAAGTGTTGTTCATCTGTTACCGGTACACAACTTATTGTTATTGTTTTTGCAACGTGTGTAATCTCCCGTCCTTTAACATTCATTCTATCATCGTGTTCCCACCCCCTTATTCCATCACTGTCAGAGGGTCCAAACGAGTGCATCAGTGCAGGACCAGGGTGGGGTCCCATTTTTGTGAGGAACAGGGCTCACAACATTACCAAGACTGGTGATCTATGCCAACGCTGTTCCTGCATGAAAGGACAGTTTGTCAACTGCAAGCCTGTGCCTGGATGTGCCAGTAAGTTCGTGGGGGGTAGTGTTATGGAATGTGCTGTAGCGTTCAGTTTTTCGTATTAAACTCGCGTCCTTGTTTCTTGTTCTTCGGTTTGTATTGCTCCCTTGGTACTCTGCTCTTTTGCAGTGTGTGTTCCAAAGAGTCCAACCAACGTCGCACAGCAATGCAGCCAGTGCTGCAAAAAGGCCACCACATCAGAGGGTGCTGAGTTATGTGAAACAGCATGTAACAGGGTTTATCGGCAGGCTTCAGGCAGTCCGTCCTAACCTCTATGATGAAGCGCGTATGCCCTGCCTTGCCTGCATGTGTTACAACACAGTGACCTCAACATGCCATCATTGGCTCCCCTTGAGCCTTCTGTTGTTTTAGCACACCAGCATGTAATCTCATATCCTCTCCAGCTAAGCAATTTTGCTCACAGAAGAATGGAGCTTCCATCTCTGCAGAGATGGAAGCTCCATTCTTCTGTGAGCAAAATTGCTTAGCTGGAGAGGATATGAGATTACATGCTGGTGTGCTAAAACAACAGAAGGCTCAAGGGGAGCCAATGATGGCATGTTGAGGTCACTGTGTTGTAACACATGCAGGCAAGGCAGGGCATACGCGCTTCATCATAGAGGTTAGGACGGACTGCCTGAAGCCTGCCGATAAACCCTGTTACATGCTGTTTCACATAACTCAGCACCCTCTGATGTGGTGGCCTTTTTGCAGCACTGGCTGCATTGCTGTGCGACGTTGGTTGGACTCTTTGGAACACACACTGCAAAAGAGCAGAGTACCAAGGGAGCAATACAAACCGAAGAAACAAGAAACAAGGACGCGAGTTTAATACGAAAAACTGAACGCTACAGCACATTCCATAACACTACCCCCACGAACTTACTGGCACATCCAGGCACAGGCTTGCAGTTGACAAACTGTCCTTTCATGCAGGAACAGCGTTGGCATAGATCACCAGTCTTGGTAATGTTGTGAGCCCTGTTCCTCACAAAAATGGGACCCCACCCTGGTCCTGCACTGATGCACTCGTTTGGACCCTCTGACAGTGATGGAATAAGGGGGTGGGAACACGATGATAGAATGAATGTTAAAGGACGGGAGATTACACACGTTGCAAAAACAATAACAATAAGTTGTGTACCGGTAACAGATGAACAACACTTGAACAATAGGATCTGTAAGCACGAAAGCGGTAAGGGAGCAGAAAACAACGATGGAGGGAGAGGAACTGACGAGCAGGGTTGATGCAGTTGCCAACGTATGAGCCGTTCACCACCCGTGATACTTCACACCTGGTGGTGCAATGACGACATGGGACGGGGGTAAATATGTACAATGTGTTCCGGAAATTACTCCATTCCACATCACAAGATTTGCCTGTGCACAGGAGAGTCAGGGGCATAAAGTCTCTAATTCGTCCCTGATCTCACTCCCAATCCCCCGACTCAACTGGTTCTGCCTGGTGTCTCTGCATCGCGTGCCGTCCTTCCATCGCCCCACCGCGTCCTGCTTGCACAGCTTGCCCAGCGGACACAAGCATGTGGGGCCGCCCTTGAGCTGCCGGCACGTGCAGTGCGGGCACATGGACGTCGCCGTGATGCCGCTGGTCCCCGGCGCGAACATCACGGAGCGGAACATGCAGAACCGCTTGGTTATCTGGTCCACTGGGAAGGAGATTCAAGGATCGTGAATGACATTGTAACACCGAGAAAGAGGCAACTTTGTTTTGTTCGTATTTTTTGTCTCCGTGAGCAGTGTTTCTTGCATGAAGTCGCAATCAGTGCAGAGAGGCATACGAAAGCGGGATTAAATGAAGTCTTACGAGGAACGTCGGAGGCGCATTCACCCTTGAACTTGAAATGCGGCGAGTTGCGAATCACCTTGGTCACCACACACCTGCATTAAGATCATGTGACGAACACGGAAGGAGTGTCGGCAACGAAATTTAAGCTGTGCTTGCATGGTGGTCAAGCTGCTCCCTGAAGTAATAGCATCTCAGATAGTGAATCGCTGGATAGCACTGCCGGAAATTCAGGCTAAGAATTTTATGGTTTTCGCAGCGTACCCGAAATCTCGCTTGCAGTAGGGCTTGATGGGGGTATAGTTCTTGTCGTAGTAGCATGTGGATCCGTCAGGTAGGCCTCCTGAATCCTTGCCGCCGGCTACGGCTAACCACGGCCCTGCCACGTACAATATCGTCGCGAAAGATGGGAGTTCCATGCATGTGTGCACTGAAGGGCTGAATGCACCGAGGTGTATCCCGAGCGTCCTCGTTCAAGGCTTGATGGAAACGCGAATCGAAAAATCAATCAAAAGAGTTTCTGAAAAAAATCACGAGGTCCTGAAGAAGCGCGGAGAGTAGCACCTGAGGTCAACGAGAGAAGAAGCAGCAATGTAAGCGATGCGTGGAGCTTCATTCCTGCTAATATAGTTCGTTCCACGGCGAACTGTGCTCTCTGTGCTTCGACCAACCTCCGCCGAGAAAATCCAGGCTTGAAATTGACAGAGAGGGGGAATTCGGAGAGACTAATCTCCTTAAAAGAGCTGAGTTAGAGGGATTGGATAATGCTCGATGTATCCTTAATCCTGGTTAGTGTTAAAGTCGTGCAGTAGCAGCGTCTATCAGCCCTTAGCTAGCAACGATTGCAACGAGGTGGATGCATCGCTGGTAAGGAAGGTGCACAGGCGCAACCTCAATAATCTTGAGGTAGTAACAGTTCGAATTGAGTTTATGACGTTGGAACTTCCTGCAACTAGCTAAGCGGCGAGGTACGTGGAGAAGCGTCGTTATCAGATTCTCGTTCACGCCGATTCCAGCTTTCAATTCACAAGAAATCAGCCAACCTGAGCAAGATATATGGTACTCCCATGTTGAGCAGTCCAGCTAGCCGAGCTGTGCGAAGCATCTCAAATTCGCCAACGACCGCAAGCACTGCAACTCCATGG